AACATTAGCAAAAAGCTTGGACGAAATAAAAAATTAAAAACAACTTTGAGAACAACTCCGTCGTTCACTTACTAAAAAAATATTAATAAAAAAAAAATCGCCTTCTTTGACGTCTGAATCAACGCAAACAACCATAACTTTACCCCCACTGTTCATTAAAACTTCGACCAGAAACTCATTTCTACTCAACTACAAAATCGAAAGTCCTCACAGATATAAAATCGCTGTTAGAAAAAAAAAAAAAAATGAAAATAAAACATGATTTACCGGGCGAAAATTATCTCTTTCTTGTTCACATTATTCAATAAGGAACTAAGCTATATTTAACAAACTTTAATTAAGAATAATTTCCCTAAGTACGACGTCGAGAAACAAATAAAATTACCGTAAAGAGAATTTAGAAAAATAACTCAATGCACTACCTTTTAATACAAACAAAAAAATGCAGTCCATTAACTTATTTTCTCATAGCCAGAACCGGTCTAATTTTAAACAGGATGTAAAAGTTATTTAAAATATAATTCGCCGATACATATCACAAAATGACTCTGACATCTAAGATTTTAATCTACAGTATAAAAAAAAAGTTTAAAACATCTAATCTAATCATTATCAAACACAGGGATCTTCAAAAATCACGCCTATGTAAATAAATAAATTAAAAAAAACACAAAAAACTATGTTGTTTTTCAGATCACAAACCTTCTGAGAGATAGCATATGCGGCATTAATAAAAAAAAATATCAGCATTACTTCGTAAATTGGACACATATACACCACACTCTCTCGTTGGTTGACTAGTCATCTGTCCAGTGCTTTCCAAAGAATATCCGGATATAAACAAATAAATTCTACCTACTATACAGACAGGACAATTGTTCTTTAGACTCCGAAAATCAAAAGTCTTTGAACAAGAAGCCAGAAAATAGGAATTTAGGGAAATTTAAACACAATTCAAAAATTAGAAAATTCAATAGAAAATTAACCCGCCGACTCAGTCGGTTTTGTTTAATCAAACTTATTTCACCAACCCTATATATATATATATATATATATATATATATATATATATATATATATATATATATATATATATATATATTTCAGTTGACGTAGGAGACAAACGTCACTTTCTCCTCTTCAGGGTGTTCTGTCACCCCACCTGACTAAAGTATGTAAATTTTCATTATTTACATTTTTATATATATTGTAATTAAGAATTATATATATATATATATATATATATATATATGAAAATTTCTCCGATTTAATCGGTAGAAGACAATATTTATGAATAAAAATGACAATAGGAAAACTGGTAATTGCTGACGCGTTTCGTCCAATGTGGACTTTATCAAAGCAAAATACGAAATAATAATAGATATAATTTCGTATTTTGCTTTGATAAAGTCCACGTTGGACGAAACGCGTCAGCAATTACCAGTTTTCCTATTGTCATTTTTATTCATAAATATATATATATATATTTCAGGAATTAGTTATTCAAAAAAATTTAGCTTGAAGATGGAACAGAGCTTGCTACTTTAATTCAATTTAATTCAAATAATTATATTAAAGTTTTCGGCTCTTGTTTTGAAACATGAGAACTCTTATGTAGCGATGGAATCATATGTTTAAATAAATAATTATATTTATGCTATAATTTTGTATCGAGCACTATTTTTAAAAATAATTGCAAAAATACTAAAGAACTTTGTATTATATATATATATATATATATATATATATATATATATATATATATATATACATATACACTACAGGTAATCGATCCGTTGGTATATAATCCATGCGGATCCTAGTAATATTAAGTAATATTAATTATTAAAACTGACCCACAGTGAGCGCGATATATATATATATATATATATATATATATATATATATATATATGTGTGTGTGTGTGTGTGTGTGTGTGTGTGTGTGTGTGTGTGTGTGTGTGTGTGTGTGTGTGCGCGCGTGTGTGTGTGTTGTTTGTGTGTGTTGTGTCTGTGAATATATTAACCCAAATATATATATATATATGTGTGTGTGTGTATGTTGTGCGTGTGAAGAATTGTGACTTTTACTGACATATATATATATATATATATATATATATATATATATATATATATATATATATATATGACAGTAAAAGCCACAATTCTTCACACAACTTTCATCAACCTCTAAGTGTTTGTCTCGGAGCATTGTTCTAAATTTATTTTCCATGCCAATCCTCCTCTAGTAGGTGCCTGGTTAATAAGAGTGAGTTTGTGTTTTTTTTATATATAACGTCCTTGTTGTCTGTTTTTCTAGGATTCACAATAAATAGTTTTGTACTACTAAGTGATGGGGGATTTAAACTTAAGTCCGTTAAGATTAATGTAAAATAGTTGAGTTATAGATTTATAGATTGCTGTTAATACTAGAGCACCCAATGGAATAGATCATTCTGTTCAACACACTTATTTGCGTACATATCTTCATACATACATATATGTGTACATTTACATGTTCATACATATATGCCACTATACTTACACTAAATGCCTAAATTAACCCATACATATGAACCTGTATACTTATGTAATTTGGAAGGTATTTGTATGTCTACATTTCGTGATTAGTTCTCTCCGTTTATTTAATAGTTTGCATTCATCTTCATATTTCATTATCTTGATTTTCTCTTCTATGCATAGCTTACACCTATCCCTAAAAAACTTGGCGGTTTTCGCGAAACCTAGAATTTTCCAATTAATTTGAGGATTCAGACCCTTTTCCTTCAATTCCCTAATTTTTTTCCAATGGGCTGTTTGGTGTTTTCATTTTGGATTGGTGAATGAATGTCTATGTGTATTGATTCTCTTTTTAAATTCACCTGCAGAAATGCCGATGTGAATATTATGGTTTGTTGTATTTTCTTTAGGGGCAAAGATTGCTTGGTATACTACCCTAGAGGATCTGCACTTGCCTTCTATTCGGCATAAATAAACACCAAACCCAAATCGCTTCCCCCGGAATAAATACCTTACGCCCCTACCATTTGCTAACACAAGTCCACTCTCATTAACAAGGCGCCTACTAGAGGAGGAATGACTTTGAAAATACATTTAGAAAAATGGTCGGAGACAAGCACTTAGAGGCTAAGCGTGTGAAGAACGGTTTGAAATAAACTATACATATTTCGAGGTAATTTTTGATTTTTGCTGTAATATATATATATATATATATATATATATATATATATATAAACAAATGGATAAATATAGATAAATTATAATTCTTATTTCAAAACATATTTGCAATCATAAATGTTAATGTTAATCAATGCCTAAATTAAAATACAAAATTAAAATGCAATTCCTTTAAATAACGATAATCACAGTGGATATCGGCTCGGGTTGAGGAATCGGAGTTCGAATTACGGCAGAATCCATTATATTCACTTACGTGAAGGTATGAATCTTCAAGAAGGTATGAATCTTCTTCTTCTCCACCCAGCTATCGACAAGTAGCAGAACAGACCGGGACGACTGGTCTATCGCAGAAAGAAATCGCAACCTACCGCGGGAAAAACCAAATCTGCCTCGGCAGGAATTTATCACAAGATACATAATAACCTCAACGTGTATCATAACAAAAAATATCTTGTAATAATCAGACCCGCAACTGAAGATTGCAGTCCGAGTTGACCATTATGTATACTCTGTAATATATATATATATATATATATATATATATATATATATATATATATATATATATATGTGTGTGTGTGTGTGTGTGTGTGTGTGTGTGTGTGTGTGTGTGTGTGTGTGTGTGTACATATATAGACAATAACACATTTCTCATAGCATTTTTCGGATTACATCTCCTCTATTTTCGTTGTCCTCTTATTACTGAGAGTAAAAACAAGAACAAAATATATTCCATACCTGTGGATGTCTGTAGGAACAGACGAAAGCTTGTAAAAATAATAAGATCTTATGCAACTGAAATTTATAAAACAATGATCTTTTCATTCATAAAAAGATTCGGAGTTTTTTGTATATTATTTGAATTGTTTGCGAAGATGGATTTCTCGCCAATTAATCATTAACCTTTGTATTTGTTTTTGTATGAATAATTGAATAATTCATGAATATATATATATATATATATATATATATATATATATATATATATATATATATATTTGTGTGTATGTTTGTCTGTGTGTGTGCGTATCAAATTGCAATTGGCAATTACAAAATTGCCAATGATGGTCTCTCTACGATCCCGTTTATCATTGCATGAAAATACAACTCACCCACCTTCACCCTCTGAGCTTATTTTTCTATTTACCGCAGATCTTGACATTTACTTGGTTAATCAAGACAATACCAACAAGTCTAATGTTAATTAAGACCTTATTTACCCGCCTACCTTTAACTTTTGGAAAAGTGGTAACACTTTGTTTCTAAATTTTCTTAAATATCATTTAATCACAAGTTACTTACCATCGGATGAAGAATTACAATCAAAGTATTGAAATATGGAAGATATTGTGTAACGATTTCAACATGTTTTTATTATAATCTCTTGTAATAAAAATCATATATATATATATATATATATGTGTGTGTGTGTGTGTGTGTGTGTGTGTGTGTGTGTCCGGTCGAGCACTCTTGGGAGAAAGCACGAATATATAAATATTGCCTACTATTGCTATTACTGAAAAAGCTCTTCCATGAATTGGATCCTATCCGTCAATGGCGTGTTTATTCGAGGAATTGGTACGTAATAATTTGCCTTCTTTTCATCCAGGCACTTGATTGATTTGTTTTTTACGGGTTGTCAACCTTTTGCAGGTTATTTAAAGCCTAATGGAGAAATGTATTTATACTCGATTTTCTTGCCCTTATCCACACATCCATTTGCCGCACACCTAATTTCTCAACAGCTATATTTCCAGTTCCGTGCCTTTACTCTTTACACCACATGCACATGCTAGGGACAGCATCTGGTATTCCCAAGCTGTCACCCATTTAGCTATTAACCAGGCTCGATATTTCTTAACTTCGGCGATCATACGGGAACAGGTGTTCCAACGTGATATAGCGTTAAGACTTCATTCGAATAAATTTATATGTTTAAATGTGTATTGTAAACCTTTAATCTTTTTAAGTTGCCTGCAATTAAAGCTGTGTGAAATTATAAATTAAAACGAAAAGATTAAACGTGTTAGGCTTCAGAGAATTCATATAGGTAAAACAACGACAAGAATATTGAAAAAGTAGATGTGTGTGTAGATCGATATTTGGGAACCGTTAGATAGCAACTCGCCAGATAGATACGAAGAAGCTGAGAATCTGGCAAACAAGGCTCTATATATGTAAGTTTAATGAAAATGTTCGCTAACAAATACTATATTTCTGATAAAATATTTGGTTCCGGCTACTTTACGAATGACTGCAAGAAACAGCATCCGAATTTATAGACAAATCATGCAAATCCATGACGTGGATCTAATCCTCTATAGTTTTGTTGTTTCTTGTTATGAAGTAAGAACGTTAAAATCGCTTGCCTGTATCCCTTTTTGGAGTCAACATTATTATTAAAATGTGGACTTTTCGCATTTGGGTAAGTTTGCTGCTATTACGTATCGAAATCCAATATGTGGACTTCTACGCAGGACACGAGTTAACTGAAGTGACACATAAGACACAAATATAAAAAAAATGATTGTGGTTGTCGGATACCCACACGTTGAAATCGACGGGAGATAACATCACAGACACACAGAACAAAACTTATTGTGTAGACTAAAATGAGGACTGGAAAAAAAAAGACACCTAATATTTGATTTATATATGTGAATTTTTACAGAGGAGAATTAAACGTTGTTACTTACAGTTGGATTTTCAATGTTTTCTTCTTAGAAAAATAATTTGTTGCTATGCATTTTTTTAAAACTATTTTACTTTAACCGGTCTTGCTTAGTCTTTCTAAAAGTTTTTAACTGTTTCTATCTCCACGTGTTGATGCTTATGTTTTGAACCAATGGAAAGAAATGAAAATCAAGTGGCGTAACTTGCTATATATGTTGTTCAATTCGTGCCTCTCTCTCTCTCTCACTCTCACTCACTCTCTCTATCTCACTCTCTTTCTCTCTCTCTCTCTATCTATCTATCTATCTATCTATCTATCTATCTATATATATATATATATATATATATATATATATATGCTCGTATTGAGGAATCGGACAGACGAGTTCGAATTCCAGTTGAATCCTTTACATTCAATTACGTTCGAATAGTCTTATGGGTAAATAGGAGGGCAGACTGAGTTCTCGGAAACTGGTCTCTGAGAAGGACAACTCTAAATTCAAAATATGCGGAGGGTCGTTTGGGGACCTTGTGGCACATGGTGCATCAGGTCCCTGTATTCGCCTCATCAAACAGTGTGATTTGTTGTAAACAAAGTCTTCACCACTATAATAAAATCATATGTGCATTTGTCTGGTTGTCGGTTCCTAGGAGCTGAGTTGCTTGACACTCATACGTCGAAAAAAAAAAAAAGACTGGAGAGTCCAGCATATATATAAACATATACATATATACTGGGTGTATCAAAAATATTTTATCAACTCATATCGTTTTGGAAACATATTTATGTGGAAATTTGAACTTGTTTTGATATCAGTGACTCGCCCTTAAATTTAGTAAAAGTATTTTTAGATTCTGTCTTGGATTGTACATTTGATAGAGTCTACCGTAAACTTTAAACTCAATAATTCAAAAACAAAGGAAATGCTGATATGCGTTTATATGGACTTTTCTCCTTGTTTTGGTCTGAGGGATCCGTACCCAGAATGTGCAAAAGTGTTTTAATACACTTTATTTATAATCTGCTTTGAATTATCTTTAGCCTGTTTATTTTTAGTTTTTTGTTTATTGTATACTTTGTCAGTTATGTTTGTTGACTAATTGCTTTTAAACATTGCTAATTTCTGTACAACTATAAACGTACTATTTTTTGGGTTCATATGTTTGAGCACATATCACTGTTATTTTTTAATAAAAAATGAAAATTTTATCAAGTGTACTAAATTTATATCAAGTGGACCTCCTAAATATACAATACACAAAGCATGAGAAAGAATGATATTTGCTAAAAGGTAAAATCGAAAATATTAAAGGAAACAAATGTCTTTGAAAAAAATGATCGAATGAAGTAATACTCATATGAAAGTAGCAAGACTTATTACAACTACATGTTTGGACGTACAATAAAAAATGTTTCTTTCGCAGGAAATAAGACAAACTGCATTACTTTATCAGGGAAGAGTAAAGGGCATCGTATTCTTGAATAGTTTAAGGATTGAATTTACCGAGATATTTTCTAACAATGCTGTCACGAAGCAAAACAAACTGTCAAGAATTACATTTTCCTCAATATAAAATAAAATAGCCAATTAGAGAAGAAACTGCGTCAAACTTGATGGAAGCAAACTTGATAATTAACATGGATTCTTATGAGCGCTGCACATCGCGTATCACCTGTTGAGCAGTGAGAAAACTAACGTCATCTATTATTTTTCCCGCTTGTTTTCTTCGAGCCAATTGAATGTATTCGTGTCGAGAAAGTTGTTAGAAAACTGTTATTCGAAAACAATTATACGAAAAACATTCGAATTGTAAATTGTATGGATAAAAATTAATCGACAGGACAATTATACTAAATGATATTTAATTATTCGAGATACCTATGTTTGAAATACCTATGTGGTCTTGCTTTAAGAGACTCAATGCTGATTTGCCTAGTACTAATAACACCCTTGAAGGATGGCATAGGGTTGTTTTGCACAAGTGTAACAATATGGGACTTTTAGATTCTCTTAAAAGAGAACATGACTTGCAAGAAATTCATAATGCAAAAGTAAGAGCTGGTTGCCAAAATATCAAGAGCGCCAAGAAATACCGCGACGCAAATGGAAGACTTAAAAAATTAGTAGCATCCTTTAACGAGTACTTTTCAGTAGCTGACTATTTGCGTGCAGTATCATATAACTTATGGTTATAAGGATTTTTCTTTCTAATTTTTTATTAACGGTATTTGTATTTCGAATAATTATTATTTGTACATTTTCTCTTTTAATTTTTACATTTTTATTGCAATAAAGAATTTTGCATTTCGAAGAATTATCATTTAGTATAATTGTCCTTTCATTCAAAAATTTGCTCTTCGAATATATGTTTATCGAATATTTTTCGAACAATAATTTTCGACAAATGTTCACATAATCGAATGTATTCAACAAGACACGGCTGAATAATGTTTTCCATCATTTTCCTGCTTGAATTAGTATTTATTTTAATCATTTCTTATTTGCTTTCTCTTTTTAATCTTTGTTTTTAGACATTCTGATGACATTTCTTTCGTTCTTGTGATTTTTTCATTTCTTTCGGTTTGATGATCCTTTCTTTCTCTGCCAGTATCTTTTCTTTGCTTCTAATTGTGCAATTGTATAGTTTTCACTTGGCACAAAATTCCATACATTTATCTTTTCTTTCATGTTTTACTCGATTTTCTATTTTCCAACTTATCCTCAAATTCTATCCCATTTTCTTATTCTATCCTATAATCTTTTATCGTATTCTCAAAGTCTCACCTATGTTCAGATTCTAAACTATTCCCTTATTCTATACCATTTTCTGTTTTTTATTCTATTCTCTTATACCGTATTATTTTCAGTTATATCCCATTCTTTTATTCTGCCTTATTTTCTCATCCTGAACTATTCTAATTTTTTATGCTATTCTCTAAATCGCGTTTTTTTCTATTTTAAACTATTCTTTCATTCTATAGTATTTATTATTCTGTCCTTATTTCCTAATTTGCTTAACCCATCTTATTTTCTTTATGTATTAGATTTTTATCCTATCTTATTTTCCAATTCTAACCTATTCTCTAATTATATAGCTTTTTATTAGACCTATTCTTTTATTTCTCTTATTTTCTTATTTTTCTTATTCAGTCCCATTCTTTTATTCCACCCTACTTTCTTATCCCATTCTATTCTATAATTCAATTTTATAATATTATTCTGTTCTCTCATTTTTTGACAATAATCTATTTCTACGTTTTTGCCCCAAATGCCTTAAAGATGAAGCATAAAAATTGCCATTTCACCATATTATTTTCAATGTTTATTTGTTTTTTGTTTTTTAGGAAAGGAGTAAGTATCACACAACAAACATTCAGAAAGTTTATTTCGGATCATGCACCGGTTCTTGGTGTGGCCATAAAATATTTTGGTATATTCCCTCGGGGTGATTTTGAACTAAACGATCAACCAGAATCAACCTTCCGACGTCGATGAAGACGATGTGATTTCAATGAAAGAGATTTCTAAGGGTTCGAAAAACGATAACTCAACTGCCTTTTTCGCCTTTTGAGGAGAATTCGGTTCACGAAAAAAGTCAGACAGCGCCAGACCACATGTTGCCTAATGGACCGCGCAGAATCTTCAAGAGTTGAAATTGGAAACATTCCGTATTGTCTTGATTAGGTTTCTTCGGAATTTTACTTTTTCCCGTTTCTAAAGAAGAATTCAAATAACAAAATTTTTGACAGTGTACAGTCAATCGAAAACTAGCCCAAGATAAATTTCAAACAAAAAATTACGAAGTTTTTACAAAAATGGCATCAACAAGCTTGTACAACGATGGGAGACAGCTGTATTGAGTAACAAATGTTTTGTAACTATGTCAAATTTTCTTTTCATTTTTTTCCTCGTGCATGGAGAAGGATTTACTATTATGTACGAATGTATGTTTTTTGCAGGCTATTTAAAGCCAGAAAATATTTTAGATTGTAAATTTTTTGGGACATAATAATGACTAACGGATATAATTTTGCACTAAATAAGCCATATTAACCTGTTTCAAATCTATCTTTTATATATATCTTAGCCAGCCTGCCTGTTTATCTTTGTCTGTTTTATAACTATTTGTCTATCTATATATCTATCTATCTGGTTAACTAACTGTATTAATACTGATTGATTGAGAATAGACAATTACTCAATAACTTCTCATGTAAAAACATTAT